ATGGCAAAGGCGTCTGCCAGAGAGAGCAGAGGGGGAGCACATCAGCACGTCAGCTGGCCGTTCCCTGCAGCAGGGGACGTGTGGGTGCTCGGGGGCGGGGGGGGGGGGGCCGAGGCATGGGCTGGGCCGTTAGGGCTTTCCCTTCCTCCAGCACGGGCGGCCGGAGTCACTGCCGTCCATCCAGGTGCTCAAGTCAGTTCTCCTCTCCAGCCACCAGCTTTCCTGTCACAGGGTCCCTGCATGTGGGCTTTGTGTTTGGGGGGAAGGAAGGAGGGGGTGTACAGCTCTAGTGGATGCTGTGGGTGCCCCACCGGGACGCCCCGTGCCAGGCAGGGCATCAATTCCCCCGCTGCTGTGAGGCCGGCACAGCACAGAGCCACCCTCGCTACCTCACTCCCAGGCCGGGCCCACACCTCCACTCTGGGGGGACAGCCCGCAGCCAGTGGGTGACTGACACACGGGAACGGAAGGCTGGTGGCCTGGCTTCAGGTGGAGCAAATGTGTGCTCCAGGCTCCTCAAGGGCTCGGGCTGAAGCCGGGCTCCAGCTGAGGCCACATCCTTGCTTAGATTTCTTCCTGCCTCACCCCTGCTCCCTCCCTCTCCTCCAGAGAACCCCTCACCAAACCACCTTCTAGGAAACCCGGCTAAGACAAAGGTGGAACCTGTGAGCCAGGGTCAGAGACAGAAAGGACCAAGCCATCATAGGCCCCCGTCCTGAGACTCAGAGGGGACTCTGTCTCTGGTCAAGGAAGGAACAAAGAGCTGAGCCACGATGAGAAATCAGGCTGCCTCCCACCCGGGGCTCTAGTTTCTGAGCACATGTGAGTTAGATGGGTGTGCAAGCGTGTGTGTAAGAGGGCACACACTGCCCCGGCACCATGCTCCTCTCCCACTTCCTTGGTACCACTGTCCCTCGCAGAAGATGCTCCACAAGTAATGGAGAGGGAGTGGTAGCGATGAGGATGGGGTGGGCCAGGGTCTTTTCCAGAAGCTGTGCTTCCTGGAACAAGGGTGCCCACACTTGGCCTCTGGGGTGGGCCCCCCAGCACTCACATGCCCCTCTCCAGAGTGCCATGGGCGGTCCTGAACTCTTCTCCATTGAGATGAGTGGTTTGGGGCTCTTACTCAGCCTCGCACTGCCTCTTCCCCATCTCGTTCACCTTCCAGGTGGGGGGGGGGCAAAACCTCTTCGAGGCCAGGAGTGCCTCCTGCTCTTCTTCCTCACCACTCGCCCCCCTCCCGGACACCCGGCCATTCAGTGGACCAAAATAGGACTTAAGAAATACCAACCAGATGTTGGAAGCATCTGTCCTCCAGCTGTTTATTCCCTCCACCCCCGCCCCACAACCAGCCCTGCTCTCCCCAGGATCCTCCTCTGACTCAAGGGTGAAACCAGACCCGAGAGGAAGGCTGCAGGGCTGTGTTGCAGGTGAGGGTCTCAGGGAGGCAGGCCTGTCAGGGAAGGAATGACTGAAGGAAATGGGATATCTGGGTAGGTGAAGTGAACACTCAGTGGGGTGGGAATGAGAGGTACCACCATGTGACAAAGAGACTAGGGTTGAAGTCAACACCCGGACAGCCTCCACTGAGACAGACTAGACCCAGGTTGAAGAACTTCCTAACAGCTAAAGCCACCCAACCACAGGCCGGACTGCTGCTGGGAGCAACGGCTTCTGGGAGTACACAAGCCCTGGCGGGCTTCCTGGCCTGCACTGGGACACACACACACACACACCCCCCCCATCCTCCCAGGCCTGCCCCAGTACCTTGTTGGGTTGTGGCAGCTAAGTGCCACCTCGACGTCGCTAAGGGGTCTCAGCTGCAGGCCTCTCCTCAGAGCAGTGCCCAGCGCTGGGCCGGGACAGGGAAGGCAGGAGAGCGTCCAGCCCTGCCCCCAGGCTTCAGAAGATGGGTGGCTCGGTTCCCTTTTCTGCACTAGCCTCCACCCAGCCCCAAGGGAAATGAAAGTGGCCAGACCGGACAACTCGGAAACCTGACTCACTGTGAGCTGGGGGAGGGAAGGGATGTGGAGAGAATCACATTTGGGTCCCCCAGACCAAATTCTCAATCTCTCACCTTGTAGCCCATCCCCCAACCCCCAAGCCCACTGGCAGTCATTGTACATTGTGTGGTTCACAGCACTGGAGAGCTTCACCCAATATGTATTTGTAGCATCCCCACCCTCCCAAAGGCCAGGGTCCTAGAATAGAAGGGTGGCAGTCACCAGTAGCAGGCCATTCTGGCTAAGAGAAGGTAGACAGAGGAAAGCTCTGTTGACACAGAGGACAAGGCAAGCTTTCCTGATGACCCACACACATGGTCAGCCCGCAGCTGTGCCATAGGTGGTGGTGCAGTTGGGAGGCCAGAAAGGTCGAGTCCTCTGCCCAGGGCAAGGAGGAAATCAGGGCGAGGAACACTGCCTGGCCTGGAACAACACTGCTTTTCAACACAAAGATGTTGAAATTATAACACTGACCTCTTGACAGTAAGGTGCAACCCCTTCAAGCAGTACAGGGAGGGGCTGTGGAGAGAGCCTCCCATGACAAGTCTGACCAGGGCCAAGAGAGGGTCTGTCCAGCATGCCACAGAAGGGTCTTCAGCCACAGGGAGTTTGCCTGCCTCCAGGTGCACCAGGACCAGGCTCAGCATCAGCTCCCCAAGGTGGCTTCCTCCCATAGGGAGACAGGCTTAGATCTGATTCAGACTATCCCAATGCCAGGAGTTCCGAATTTCGGTGCCTTTGTGCTCCATCCCTACTTTCCCTCCACATAGAAGCCGCCACCCAGATTCCCAGGGTGTCCCAGAAGCTATAGCACAGCCCTGAGAAATTCCATCCTACACCCCCTACCTGCTGCTGGGAAGAGGACTTGATTTTCCATCAGAGGGCAGGCTAGTCAGGGGGTCTGCCCTGATCCTTGACAGCTGAGCCGGTCTGCAGCCCTCAGACCTAGCCTTGTGGATTTGAGCACCGGAAGAGGGGAAAGGCGGAAGTGCATGCATCAGCTTCCATGGGAACATCAAAGGAGGTGTGGCCTGCTGAGGACCCGAGGAAGCCCCCAGAGGTGAAGGGGCAGCCCAGGAGCTCCTCCTGAGGGGGCGAGGCCCCACATCTCCTGAAGTCCCAGGAGCCAGCCACCAGAGGAGCCTGGAACATTGTGGGCACCAGGGACCCCCTAGGGGAGGAAGCTCTGCAGCCCCCAACAGTGGGCAGATCAGAAAGCCCTTGCACCTCCTGAGTTTATCTGATTCAGACGTCTCCCCACAAACTCCACACCAAGCTCCTGGAGAAGGCAAGGGGTTCCCTGCCCCGGCAAGACCTTAAGCCGCGCCCTCTCATGGTGAGTTGACCACACCCTGAGAATAGCTGAGGCTCTGGGGCAGCTGATGCGGCGAAGGAAGCTTCTCTCGGCTTCATTTGGGGCGCACGGTGGGGTAAGACCAAGGCGCAGGGGGAAAACCCCAAGATAGGGCCTTTAGGTAAAAAAGGGTGGTTTCCCATGGCTTCTCTTGACTTGCTGGAAGCCCCAGCGCCCTAGCCCGATAGCTCTGCTCTGGCCCAGGTGCCCCTCCCGAGGGGCTCTAGCTTCCTGCATCGGCCCCGCCCTCGTCCTTACTGGTCCTGGTCACTCGTCCCAGCTCTGGGCGCTCGTGGAACCCAGGCCCGGCCCTGCCCTCTGGACCGCCCCCGCAGGTGCTGCTCCCCGGGTGGCTTGCCCGCGCCTCCTGGGCCAGCCCACAGAACCACCACCCCCCTACCCCGCCCGGGGCGCTGGCTTAGGGTCTGCCTCTCGGACCGCTTCTCCGGCTGGTGGCGCCCCCGCCGTCGTCCCCGCTCTGATGTGCCCAGGGTGGCGGCGTGGGCGGGAAAGTCCCCCTCGCCCCTGATCCCGAGTGCCGGATCCGGCGGCTCTGGGGTCGCGGAGACAACCCCGGCGCAGGTGTTCACCATCTCCTATCCCGCATCACGGTCACGCTGGTCTCACTTTCCTTCCACTTTTAGACTCTTAACTGTTTCGTTTCTAAGTTCGGGGGAACTAGTCTAAGAAGTATCACGCCCGTGGTTCCTCTCTGTTAGAGGAGGGTCAGCGCCTTCTTTTCTCGGGCACGAGTCGAAGGACGGCCGGCGCCTCTGCCTGACACCATCTTACTACACACTCTCTGCCCGAATTCTTGCCATTGGCCTTAAGATCCAGGGAGGATGAACCTTTTTAAACCTCATTCTCTTACTCGAAAGGATGAGAGGTGCCAGGGGAAGAGGGATTGGAGTGCACAGAAAGGGGGAATCGGGGCTTGCCCCTCCCATGGCCCAAGCCGGGAGCCCAGGCGCTGCCCATCCTTGGCGGTGGCGAGACGAAGGGAGAGAAGCAGCAGAGCTGGCGCCCCTGGCAGCAGTGCCTACTCCGCCGCCCGCACCTCCGGGCTCCCCGGGCGCCTTCGGGACGAAGGCTGCTGGTGCGGGGCACCCCACGCTAATCAGGACGTAGGAGGCATCTTGGAGGCCGCCAGAACGGCGGGGCGCGCCCTGCCTTACGCGACCCCCCCGCGTCCCCCCCTTACCGAGCTCCGATGCCAGGAGAAGCCGGCGCTGACCCCTCCCGCGCGCCCGCCCCGCTCCGGTCCCCCTCCCGCCGCCAGCGGGTGCTCCGCGGGCGCGGAGAGGAGCGCGCGGCAGCCGGGACCTACCTGTCTGCGGTGCGCCCGCTTGGCTGCGCCCGGGAGCACGGGCCAGGCGGTGGGGCCGAGCTGCGCCCTCCCGGAGCCGCGCTTGTCTGTCCGCCCGCCCTCCCGGCACTTCCGCATCACCGCCCCCGCCCCTGGGCCGAGGCCGCCGAGCCTGGGTGCGCGGGCAGCGCCCCGCCCTGCCCCGCGAAGCCACCGTGGGGTCCCCGCGCAGACCCAGCGACCGAGGGGCCGGGCTGAGCCTCGGGCCAGGCTGGTCCCCCTGCAGCCCAGGGCCTGGGGGAGACGCCAGGCGGCGAGGTAGCCTTGAGTGAGTACTGGGCTCCTTCAGCCATCGGGAAGCGCGAAATAGTCGTTCGACACCCCTAGCCCCCCACCCCACCCTGCCGCGGTGCTCGGCTGGGCCCGGGAGCTTCCCAGCCTGTCCCTCCGGGAGCTCAAGATCGGTGCGGACATTGGCGGTCAACCGAGCCACGTACCAGCGCGGTGGGGCGGACTGTTAGACAGCCCCCGGCCCTCGCCCGCCAGCCTGCGAACTCTACCGAGGGTCACTGGCACCCAGCCGAGGGTCGCTAGCACCCAGATTCAGACAACCCCTCCACGACGTGCCTGCAGACAGAGATTCTCAGGCTACTCTGTTCCTTTCTAATTCTCAACCTTCGCACCTGCCTTCCCCAGGTCCCCTCCCTGATCACCTTCCGGGTCTCTCAGGGTCAGCTCCTTGGTCGCATGTCCCACCCCTTCACTCACCGCTATCTTGACTACACCCGTCTGCCGTTCTGAACGCTTTTCGGTTCCACACGTGGGCCTCCTCGCTGGCCTCAACCTTCACACAACCTGTTCCCTCTTCAGGAGCATTCTTCGTTTGGGAACACCTGCTCGTCTTCAAATGTTGCCTCAGCATCACCTCCTTTGGAAAGCTTACCTTGACTTCCCTTGCTAGGTCGGGTTCCCAGCCTCTGAGACTCGTCCTCGCTGGTTTTCACTTAGGATTTTAATGTCTGATTCCCACTGGAATCAGCTTACTCAGGGACCACTCCTGTCTTTTTGTCTTCTATTTTCTATAGTAATTTTTAATTAAAATATTTTTAAACGAAGGAAATTTACATCAGTTGATTAAATTTTAGGTAGAAACTAAAATACATAAGTTCTAAAAAACACTATTTGCACTTTAAAGTTTAGAGCCTGTATTTTTTAACAAATACAGCCATATTAGTTAGTTGATGAATCAGAACTTTGACCTTCCCCTCCCCTCTCCATCTCTGCAGGAATACCGAGGTTGGTCTTTACCCCTGATCTGTAATCATGACTCTTCATGTGTTGTCTGTTTTTCTTCTCTCCTGCATCTCTCTCCCTCTCCCCCACTCTTGCATAGCCCTAATATAAAAGAGAATATAATTATATGTATTTTATTATTTGTATCTGCTGAATCTTTCACTATTTTATATTTTTAAAATTTAAAGTGTGGATGCAGAAAATGAGGATAGAGAGATTGTTTTTTATTTCTTTCTTTAAATGTGAAACTGCTATTTACTTGAAAATGGTTGCCCCCAAAATACGAACCTTTTTCATCGGAGGTCAGTTGTGCTTAATAGAAAGTATTCTATGTTGGACTAGAAAATATATCTGGAGCAATAGTCAAGAGGAGGCTTCTTTTATTGTTAGATGCACCACACACAGCTTAAGGGAGCGTGAGACTAGGATTCTGCACTCTGCCTCCCCACGATCCCATGTCCTCAGGTGAGGCCTCCCACCCTTAGGGTCTCTGATCTTTGTCAAGAACCATTCGGGGGCTGTGTGTAGAAGAAGGGGCACTGCCCTTGAGCTTGCATCCAACTCTGCTGCATTCAAGCTCAGCGACCTTAGGCAGGTCCTGTGACTCTCCTTCCCTGTGGTACAAGGGAGGTGATGTTATCGAGATCGCAACATTGCGTGGTGCTCCAAGGATAGGGGCTATGCAGGGGCTCCACTCGGCTTGGCTCCTGCCTTCCCCAGACCAGGGGAACCTGAACCGAGAACCACTCTGGGCCATAGACATGGCATAAGGAGGCAGGGGTGAGGACAGAGAGCACCACTCAGGCTCTTCCAAAATCGAAGGGTCCCCTTGCTTCTGGATGCTGTCTTATGGTGAAGTACAAGCAGAGGGGAAGTGAGACTACGCTGGTGACCCCCATGGGATCCCTCCCGGCTCCCCGCAGTGGGGCCGGAGTACACGGGGAACGAGGAGACTCGGCCTCCACAGCCCCAGGAGCCTCAGCAGAGACGTGTATCCAGGCCTCTTATTCCCAGTGGTGAGACGGCCCCTGCCCCGACTTCCCCTGGCCGGGGCATCAGACTGAGGGTGTGGTGAGAGGCCTGATTCCTGTAGAAGCCACCACGCGTGTGCATCTGTGTATGGGGATGGGGCAGCCACATCACCAAAGGGAACCGAAAGAAGCTCAGGGTGACTGGTGGGGAGAGTAGGTGGAGATCCAGCAGGCAGCTGGACAAGACCCCCTCCCAACTCTGGACCTGCCCCCCTCAGCACAGACCTGGGCAGATGACAGCTGGCTTTGCCCCCAGTACCTCCCATCCAGGAGACCCATCCCCTCAGTCTGGGCTGTCGGGCTTCCCCAGGCTGGCCTGGTCCTCAGATGTCCTTCTGTTTCTAGGAACTTGCTGGCGAGACACTGGGCTCTGGACTCCAACAGGGCTGAGTCACACCCTGGCTCTACCACTCGGGAATTGTGTGACTTTGAGCAAACCTCGGACTCTCTTGGAAGCCCCATTTCCTGCCTGTAAGGTGAGAATGATAACATCACGGTCACAGTTGGACTGTGAGGCCTAAGTTTAACAAATGCTCAGTGAGCACCTCCTACGTACCAGGAGAAAGCGGCAAACCAAAGTCTACTTTGTCTAAACACCCTGCCTTCCTGGAGCTCCCATTCTATGGAGTGAGCTAGACAATAAATGCTTCAGTAACAAAACTGGGGGGGGCGGGGCGCTTCGTGGGTTGTTGCACAGTCAGAGCAGAGGCGCCACACGATCTGACTTAGGGTTTTACACGGCCACTCCGGCTCCTGCCTGTAAAGCACATGATATGACACGCGAAAGTGGCAGCTTCACTGCTGCCGATGCCCAGGACGCCACAGCTGGGGCTTCCTTCCCCTTTCTTACTAAATGCTGCCTCCTCAGAGCATTCTGAGGTGTGAGCTGGAAGTCCCCCGCTTGGCCAGCACTGTCACGCAGACGCCTCTAGACCTCATATCCCACCCCACCCCCTTCCAAATCTGCACTCTATCTCTTCAAATGGCCTGTGTCCCAGGAAGCTACACAGCCACCCTTGTCCATCCCAGGTCCTGGCTCTGTGCTCCCTCAACCCTGTTGAGAACAAATGCTACTTCCCCTTTCCTTCGTGGTCAGCCCCTCTCCTCTCCCTAATCCTCTGCAATCTGGCTCCCACCCCCTTTCCCACGGATTCTGCTCTGGACCTTGGACCCAGAGCTCCAGCCGTCCCTGAGACCCTCAGGTACGCCTCAGAAACTCCAGTCTCTGCATGTCTTCTTTACTTAAACTCTCAGATCCTGCGGTTTCACTGTTGCCTGGGTTTCTCACCATCCACTGTAAATAAATGCCCTGGGATTTCGCTCCTAGCTCATGCCTTAGCATCCTCCTGCACCCCGCGCTGCCCCGCCCCTGCCCTGCCTCTCAGTGCAGTCGTCATTGGTCCTTCTGCTGATTCTTCCCCCACTTGTATCTTCCACCACGACACCAGGATGCCTCTTGCCCAGATCGTCATCTCCCCACTCTGCCCCCGCAACTACCCTTGGTCTGATTCAGACACTCCTAAAATCTACTTAGCTCAGTGTTTTGCTCAAACCACTTCCCTCCCCAGTACTGGGCTTTATCAAGGAAGGGGCTGGGGCCAGAGCCTCCATCCTTCCTGCCTGTCTGGAGGAGTCACTTGAGAGCATGCAGCACTTGGACAAGGCGGAAAAGGAAGAGGAGGAAGTCCAACCTGGAAACCACAGTCTTCCAGGGCTCCTGCAATGGGAATGACTGAGCCCCTGCTTTGTGGGGACAGAGGCCACCCCAGTCCTGCAAGAACCAGCTGTGGACTTCAGTGTCCTCTCTTGTCCCAAACAGACTTGGTTGAAGCCCAGAGTCCATAGGTGCCCCCACCGGGGAGCGGATCCCATCCAGATGCACGAGGACCACCCGTCATTGATGTGGGATGCAGGGGGTCCCATGGCTTATCAGCCCAATTCATCTCAAGCCCCTGCAACTTAGAACCAGGGCTCGGGATCCCCCCAGGGCAGGACTGTTGTGCCTCTAAGGTGGGAAACGAGGAGAGACTCAGTTGTGTCCAGGATGGCAGGGTCAGCCCAATGGCATGGGGGGGGGCTCGTCTCAGCTCACATCTGGACCTCAGGATGGTGGAAAGATGACAGAACCACCCTGGATGGGAGGGGACTCTGGGGATGGCTCTGGGAGTCCAGAGGAGGCACTCTCTGGCCTGGAGTGAGGTGTGAGGTTATGGGAGGGGGCAGGGGGCATGATATTCGTCCCACATGGCCTCTCAACACTTCACCATGGGAGGGGGATGTCCCAGCTGCCCCTCTCTGGCCTCCTAAGGGGTGGGCTGGCTGGGGGTTGTGGCCTGAGGACATCACGTATGTGGTAGAGGTAGGAGAAGGAGCTCTTGGGGGCCAGGAGCCAACAGAGCTGTGGGAACAGGTGTTTGGTTCTTGCCAGCCAGGTACCCCTGGGCCAGGGCTACCACCCTGTAAGAGTCAGACCTGGGGGCCCGAGATGGGGCTCCCCCAGGCTGCTCTGCTGCTTCTGTGGCCTCTGATGCTGGGCGCAGAAAGTCAAGAAAGCAGAGAGCCCTGAGGGCTGAAGGACCCCGGGGGGCTCCTAGAGTAAGACCACTCTGCTCTCTTGGGTCCTCCTAGAGAAGGAGGGTGTCAGGACTTGCTAGAGGGGAGTCCAGTGGGAGTTCTGACCAGGCCAGTGTCCTGGAATCTCTGTGTTTCACAGTTTTTCAAGTCAGGAGCCAGCTGGAGCTCTGATGCCCACCCAGGCCCCCTGTGCCAGGCCGACTGGGGCCATAAGGGTGCTGGTGGGCATGCAGGACCCAAGAGTCCCCACCGATCTGTGCCAGTCTGAGGACCAGTCTCCCCGATTTCTTTCAGACTATTCTCCTCCCTTTCTCCTGGAGCAGCACTTCCAAAGCTGCAGGGAGGCTGACGTGACCTGACAGCTTGTCCAGGGGCCATCACCGGTGGTGGAGGTTGGGGTGAGATGGGAAGAAGAAAGGGACACCTGCTCAGGTAGGAAAGAACTTATGGGGGCTTCCTCGTCACCCCCCGACTCACTTCAAAAGCTGTGCTTTGCAGTAGCAGGTCACGGGAGTGCCTGAGAGGACTGGGCAAGAGGGTGGTGAGCCCAGGGATCCTGGGTCCACCTGGAACTCGGCCGTCTAGAGAGCAAGTGTGCTCAATCCTGCGTCCTCCTGCAGTTCAGGGACCATGGGGGTCAGGAAAGAGAGTAGGCCATGGGCCTCTTGCAGAGGGACAGCCCATCCCAAGCTATGGAGAAGAGCCAGGAGAAGCACCGCCAGGCTGGTGAAGGCCCTGTTGGAACGGGGCGTGGTGTTCTGGAGAGGGCAGGCCACAGGCTGGGCTGGCTGGAGGCGCAAATACAACCAGGTGATATTGATGAGCCCCTAAGACGTGCAGGATCCCGCTGAGCACCTTTCATACATTATTGCACTTAACTGTCACAAGCAGCCACCGTGACGTGGGCATCATTCGTACATATCCCCGTTTACAAAGAAGCGAGCTGAGTTACTTCCTAACCTTGCAAACTTGAGTGAGTTATCCTCTCACTTCTTTGTACTCTTAGCATTATCTCTGGTGCTCCTTGGCTTGAAGAAGCATCACCCTGATCTCTGTCTTCATCTTCACACATTGCTGTCCTCGTGTGCACGTCACTGTGTCCAAATTCCCTTTTTTCATAAGGACATCAGTCATACTGGATTAGGGCCCACCTAATGACCTCATCTTAACTAATTACATCTGCAAAGACCCTATTTCTAAATAAGGTCACATTCAGAGGTACTGGGGTTAGTACTTTAACACATGAATCTGGGGGAGGGGGGGACACAATTCAACCCATGACAGAATTTATCATGTAACCTACTCTCCACCAAACACCAGAGTCACATTTGATTCTCCCATCAACTGTACAAGGTAGGGATATGTGTTATCTTCATTTTATAGATGAAAACACTGAAGTTCAGAAAGGTTGGGCAATTTACCCAAAGGCACACAGCAATTAGTAAAATAAGACACTGGGATTTGAACCTGACCATGAGTGATATTTGATCACTTTAGAGTCAGACAGACCTGGGTTCATGTCCCAGCTGTGTGATCTTGTGTAAGGCATTCGGCCTCTCTGAGTCTCAGTATCCTTGTTTACACAAGGGGTTAACACTGTACTGTCAGCAGTGAAGAACTGCTGCTCAGCAGTGGCGGGGGTGGGGTGAGGTCTAGCCCAGTGCCTGGCACACAGTAGAAGAAGTGATTTTAATTTAAACATAGCAGTAGCCCCCACCACCACCAGAGCACATCCTGTGTTCTGGTGGTTCTGGGTGGCAGCCTCACTATGGCCAGCTGTCCTCACTGAGTCCCTGGGGCAGGTAGAGCCAGGGAAGCATGCAGATCCCACACTCTCCAGCCCAGAGCTCCCTGGGGCTATCCCCCCACCTCCAGCTTCCCACCTGACATGCTCTCCACTGGGAGAGGAGAGGGAGCTGGCTGCTAGGGGCCTTATTCCTCATGCTCAGGCCCCGGGATGTTGTCTGTATAGAAAATGTGGCCCGTGTACGAGTCAGGGAATGATCGTGGCCCCTGAGAGAGGCTGCCCGCTCCCCAGCTGTCTCACCCTCAGGAACAGGCCCAGGAGAAAGCATAGGGTCAGAGAACAGAGCTGGGTGGGTGGATGTGGGACTGCGGGGAGGGGCTGACCACAAAGCGGCAGCATGAAGTGATGGCAAGTGTTCTGCATCTTGATTTGATTGTGGTGATAGTCACACAACTCTCTGCATTTGCCAAAATTCACAGCTGTACACTAAAAAGAGTGAATTTCATTGTATGTGAATTAAAAATAAATAAAAATTTTAAACAATAAATGCTGGAGAGGGTGTGGAGAAAAGGGAACCCTCTTGCACTGTTGGTGGGAATGTAAACTGATACAGCCACTATGGAGAACAGTATGGAGGTTCCTTAAAAAACTAAAAATAGAACTACCATACAGCCCAGCAATGCCACTCCTGGGCATATACCCTGAGAAAACCATAATTCAAAAAGAGTCATGTACCACAATGTTCATTACAGCACTATTTACAATAGCCAGGACACGGAAGCAACCTCAGTGTCTGTCGACAGATGAATGGATAAAGAAGATGTGGCACATATATACAATGGAATATTACTCAGCCATAAAAAGAAACGAAATTGAGTTATTTGTAGTGAGGTGGATGGACCTAGAGTAGAGACTGTCATACAAAGTGAAGTAAGTCAGAAAGAGAAAAACAAATACCGTATGCTAACACATATGTATGGAATCTAAAAAAAAAAGTTCTGAAGAACCTAGGGTAAGGACAGGAATAAAGACGCAGATGTAGAGAATGGACTTGAGGACATGGGGAGGGGGAAGGGTAAACTGGGACAAAGTGAGATAGTCACGTGGACATGTATACATTACCAAATGTAAAATAGCTAGTGGGAAGCAGCCGCATAGCAAAGGGAGATCAGCTCCTGCTTTGTGACCACCTAGAGGGGTGGGACAGGGAGTGTGGGAGGGAGATGCAAGAGGGAGGAGATATGGGGATATATGTATATGTATAGCTGATTCACTCTGTTATAAAGCAGAAACTAACACACCATTGTAAGCAATTATACTCCAATGAAGATGTTTAAAAAAAATAAATTAAATAAATAAATTAATAAAAATTTTAAAAGCCATTCAGAAGATCCAAATTCTAAATGTCAAGACATTTTAGGAATGACTTAACAAATGTATTTAGCTTGTAGTTTCCTTTTAATGCAAGCAAAAGACCGATATAATATAAATATGCCTTAAAGATCTCTAAGTAAGTTTTCAATAAAAATTCTAAATAATTTAAAAAAGAAAAGCAAAAGAGCGGGTTCATCACAGAGAGACAGGGGTGGCACCTGGCCCCTACCCTCTCCGTTTCTCCCTCCCTCCAGCCTGGATCTTCTGGGCTCTTCCCCTGGTCGTCCTGCTATACCTCTGCTGACCTCCTCCCACTCGCAGGAGGTTGAGTATTGTCTCTGGGGTTTGATGATTTCTATCAGGCTCCCTGACTGCCCCAGGGACACAGAAAAAGGAGCTACCCTCAGTGTGGGTGGCTCTAGGTAAGAGGCGTGTGAGGCAAGGTTGTGGCAGGACACAGGTGGAGCTAAACGGAGGCAAGTTTAGAACATTTGCAGAGATGTGAACAGGATTACGAAAGCCACTGTGAAACTTCCAGGCACCCAAGGCCTAGCATCAGCAGGGAACTGTCACCACCCACAGAGTGGCTGTCCTCCAGGACCTGTGGCTGTGCAAGATTGGGGGCTCTATGGCTTCCACTCTCCCACCCTCCTATTTCTTGCCAGTGCCTCCCCTTAGCCAAATCCACCCAGAATCCAGAGATCAAGGGAGCCTGTGTCATGCAGGTCCAGCTCAGCCGCTTTGAGGCATGAAGTAGGGCAGAAAAAAGCAGAGGTTGGTGGGGACAGGGGGCAAGAGGAGAGAAAGCAGAGCCACTGGGAAGGGAGGACTCTCATGGGGAAATTGGGAGCATACCCTGGGCCCATGGTTACCTCAGGCTTCTACCCAGGGACAGCCAGGCGTCCCAGCTATTCCAGGGTGGGAGTTCCTAGATGAATGAATGAATGAATGATAAATTTGAAAATGGATGAGTGACAGAAGGAATGCGAATGGGCCTGTTCCTATTGGCACTAAGAAGGAGGTGGATCCTTTTTCCCAGGATCCCCACCCTTGCAGGCCTTTAAGGACTATTTCCAGAATACCCACTTTGGGGCCCTACACAGGACCCTGAGCAAGAGAAGCAGAGGCCATGGGCTGGGCAGGACAGGGCAAGGTGGGCCATCAGGTACTGGGGAGCCTGCAGGTCCTGTAGGATGAAAGGCTTTGCTCCTCCTCCCTCACACTGGAAACCTACTCCCGGGCTGCCTCCCGTCCTGCCCCACCCTGCTCCCCAGGCCCCGCCTTCTCCAGCTGGGCCACTCAGGGACATAGGCTGGGTTCACAGGGCTCAGTCAGGCGTTGGTGCTGCAGGGGAGGGGAGGCACAGCCGGGTGGAAACCAAGGGACCTGTCACCCTGATTCGTACAGTGTGCGCGTCTGCAGAGCAGCAGCCAGGATCCCCAGAGCGGGCCTCCTGGTGGGAGGAGCAGAGCCTGGCCTCGGACCCCTGCGTGCTCTCAGAGTACCCTGGGAGGTAAGGCAGGTGGTAGCTGATGGGGAAAAGGAGGGTAGCCACCATTCCCACTGAGACTTGCCCCGACAACTTGTTGGTCCCTGGGGGCTGAGGGGAATTGTGGACCAGCTCCGGGGTCTACACCGAGAGGTATTCCAGGTGCAGGATGAAGCAGCAGGGATAATTACCAGGGGAGCCTGACCACAGGACCACCAATAAGCCACGCCCAGACCTTAGAACACGCGTTTTCCTGGATCTGGACATCTGTCCTGGCTCATAAAATCTGAGGTGACCCTGAGGACTGTGCAGCCCCACAAAGCTCCATCAAAGCTGCAGCCTCGGGGCTTCCCTGGTGGCGCAGTGGTTGAGAGTCCGCCTGCCGATGCAGGGGACACGGGTTTGTGCCCCGGTCCGGGAAGATCCCACATGCTGCGGAGCGGCTGGGCCCGTGAGCCATGGCCGCTGAGCCTGCGCGTCCGGAGCCCGTGCTCTGCAACGGGAGAGGCCACAACAGTGAGAGGCCCGCGTACCGCAAAAAAAAAAAAAAAAAGCTGCAGCCTCTCTATCACTGGGGCTGCCACCCTGTGGCCATCTCAGTGCCTCAGTCCTCCCTCCTGTGCCCCATCGTCCAAGGCCATCCTTCTTCAGGCAACTTTCCTGCCCACACGCTCTGCCCAGGACCTTTCCTGGGGACAACTTACCCGGATGGGACAGGAAGACAGTATAGTAAACTGTCCAGAGGTAAGCCCTAGAGTAGCCACTAAGAAAATAGAAAAAGAAATACAGTTTAAAAAAAAACTCATTAAAGGAATAATAAAAATGTTATACTAGAAAATATTCACTTAATGCAAAATAAAGCAGTCTAGGCAAAATAGAGGAACAAAAAGGAAATGATATACTTAGAAAGCAAGTAAAATGGCAAATGCAAATACAACTATATTAGTAACGTGAATGGATTAAAACAAAATCCAACAAGATACTGTCTATAAGAGACATACTTTAGATTTTTTAAAAAAATATTTATTTATGTATTTTTATTCGGTGGCTGCATCACGTCTTAGTTGCGGTGCGTGGGCTTCTCTCTAGTTTTGCAGTGCGGGCTTAGTTGCCCCGCGGCATGTGGGATCTCAGTTCCCTGACCAGGGATCAAACTGGCATCCCCTGCATTGCAAGATGAATGCTTAACCACTGGACCACCAGGGAAGTCCCACAGACATACTTTAGATTTACAGATACAAAAAGATTTAAACTAAAAGAATAGAAAAAAGTTTTATCATGCAAACAGCAACCATAAGAAAATTGGAGGGCTATGCTGTCATCAGACAAAATAGGTTTTAAAACAAAAAAAGTAACTCAAGATAAAGAGGGACATTTTATAATGATAAAAGTGCAATGCATCAGAAAGGTGACAATTGTAAACATAAGGCCACCTAACAACAGACCCATACCTCATTCTGTATACAAAAGGTAACTCAAAATGGTTCAAAGATCTTATATGTAAGAGCTAACACTGTAAAACTCTTATAAGAAAACACAGGGTTAAATTTTTCTAAACATAGACTAGGCAATGATTCCTTAAATATGTTGCCGAAAGTATAAGCAACAACAACGACGAAAAAAAACAGATTGGACTTTATCAAAACTAAAAACTTTTGTGCTGCAAAAAAAAAAACCATAAAAATTAAAATAACCCACAGTATGGGAAAAAATATTGACTAGTCATATACCTGATAAGTGACTTGAATCTAGAATATATAAAGAACACTTACAACAAAATAATAAAAAGACAAATAACTCAATTTTTTAAATGGGCAAAGGACTTGAATAGACATTTCTCCAGAGAAGACACATAAATGACTAATAAGCTTGTGTAAAGATTTTCAACATCATGAGTCATTAGGGAAATGCAAATCAAACCACAATGAAATACCACTAGGATGGCTGTAATCAAAAAAATCAGATAATAATAAGTGTTATCAAGGAAGTAGAGAAATTGGAACCCTCATATGTTGCTGGTGGGAATGTGAAGTGGTACAGCCACTTTGGAAAACAATTTGACAGTTCTTCAAAAGGTTAAAGGTAGAATTACCATATGATGCAGCAATTCCACTTCCAGTAATATACCCAAGAGAAATTACAGCATATATCCTCACAAAAACTTGCCCATGAATCTTCACAGCAGCATTATTCATAATAGCCAAAAAGTGGAAACAACCCAAATTCTATCGGCTGATGAATGGATAAAGTATGGTACATACTTCGGTACATACACATTACTTGGCAACAAGGAATGAAGCATGGATACATGGTAAAACGTGGATAAACCTTGAAAACATTATGCCAAGTGAAAAGCCAGACACAAAGGATTACTTATATGAAATGTGGATGGGTGGTCGCCTAGGGCTGGGGTACGGATGGTGGTGGGAAATAGGGGGCGAATGCTGAAGGGTATGGGGTTTATTTTTGGATGATAAAATGTTTTAAAATTGATTGCAGTGATGATTGCACAACTCTATGAATATACCAAACTATTAAGTTATACTCTTTAAACAGGTGAATTTATGGTATGTGAATTATATCTCAATAAAGCTGTTACCAAAAAAAAGAAGCCAAACATATAGGAATTTGAGGTCACTACTCTGTGCCAGGACATCTGGTGCCTCATTACGGCCCCAGCTGTGGTTTTGACCCACTGGCCTCTACTCCCTTGCCATCTGACCCCCTCTCTTCATACTACCTGGAAGGAACAGCTGCCACTTCCCCTCCCTCAGGCCCTGTCTAAGATCTTGCTTGTCTCAAAACTGTGGAGTGGGGCTATGGTGCTGAGTGAGATCAGGTCCTTGACCAGAGGCCCCATGGCAAGTCTTGGCCCAAACTCCTGCAAGACTGTCTCTTCTGTCTCTAGGGGGCCTCATTCACATCATAGCCAATGTGGATCTATCATGAAACTTTCCCAGCCAATGGAAGGGAGCATTCTGTCTTGAGAAGATGCACTTCTCACTAATTTGCACAAAGTTGCCTTACAGTCTGAATATGCGCTGTTCTATACAGTAGCTACTAGCTACATAGGGCTATTTCTATTAAAGTGAATTAGAATTAAATAAAAAGTAAAAATTCAGGGGAGTTCCCTGGCAGTCCAGTGGTTAGGACTCCACGCTTTCACTGCCGAGGGCGCGGGTTCAATCCCTGGTCGGGGAACTAAGATACTGCAAGCCGCGTGGCACGGCCAAAAAATAAAAATTCAGATCCTCAAGTGCACTAGCCATATTACAGGGGCGCAGTAGCCTCATGGGGCCATCGTATTGGACAGTGCAGATATAGACATTTCCATCATCGCAGACAGTTCTGTTGGACTGTGCTGCTCAGAACCACTGGAAGAGGCTTTGTGGGATCTTGAGAGCAGGACCGTGAGGGATGGGAAGAAGCGAAATGGGTGGGAAGAAGAGGAAATTGCAGGCAGGAAGCCACACATATCTCCTCCCCTCTTTGCCCCACCCTCTTAGCTTCTCCAAGCCCTAATGGGATCCCCAGGGAGCGGTCTTTGAGAAAAAAGATAGTCAGAAAAGAGATTGGGGAAGCCCCAGCTTCTCCAGTGGGCCCAAGGTTGATTGGCAAGCTTCCCTCCAGGCTGGAGAGCCTCGTGGCTTGGAGGTCCCTGTGTGGCGCCTGGAAACATTCTGCCAATACCCCCCTCCAGGTCCTGGCTCTGCTGCGAGGTTCAGATATGCAGTCTGATTGCCCTGGTCTTTCTTTGCCAAAAACGAAAACAGAAAAATGCACAAACCCTCCTAAGATCCCAGCAGGTTCCATCTGACAAGGAAGTACTGCGTTCCGACTGTGATATTAACCTGTGAGTGGTGTTGGTCTAGTGTGTGAGCTGACACTGGTACTTGAGTAGGCATGCTGCAGCTTGGCACAGTCCCTGGAACACAGTGAGGTGGACCCCTGAGGCCTTTTAAGGGGCAAAGGAAGTCCTTCCTGGAAGGGGGCTGGCAGCCTAGTTATTCTGAATTGTGGGGAGAGGTGGCCAGCTGTGGGGTACAGCTGTGGAATTAGAATCTCAGATCGGGGCTTCCCTGGTGGCACAGTGGTTGAGAGTCTGCCTGCCAATGCAGGGGACGCAGGTTCATGCCCCGGTCCAGGCGGATCCCACATGCTGCGGAGCGGCTGGGCCCATGAGCCACGGCCGCTGAGCCTGCGCCTCCGGAGCCTGTGCTCCACAACGGGAGGGGCCACAGCAGTGAGAGGCCCGCGTACCGCAAAAAAAAAAAAAAAAAAAAAGAATATCTGATCTGTGATAAACAGCACATCCCCGCCCCCTGTCCCCCTGCTGCAGCTGCTCAGCTGGTCAGGTCAGCCGGGGTAACCTTCTCCTGGGGTGGACATGATGTTGTGAGCAGGGAGAGAGGGTCCTAGGGGAGTAGGGAGCTGGAGACAGGAGCCACTGAGGGAGGTGACTTGGGGGCAAGTTGGTGACTTGCAGGGGCAGATGGGGATGGGGGTTGGGATGCTGCACAGCCTGTTCCCACATACCACGTCCAAACGACATCATGTGTTGCACACATGCTTGCACGCGGTTGTGTGGGCCACATGAAGGGTGTGGAAGAACAGACCTTGTTACCATTGGTTACACCGGATGCGAGTGATGGGCAAGGAAGGGCTGGAGCAGGTGTAATGATGGGCTTTGCCTTTATTCCTTTGTGGTAGCTTATTTCATTTGTTACAGCTGGTATGACTTGAAAGGTCAAAATTTAAGTACAAAATTTAATCATTTACTAACCCCTTCTCTCCCTCCCTCTTTACAGCAAACTTTTGCTTCCAGCCACCAAAGGCAGAGGGAAAACCAAGCTGCTGCTATTGACAGTACAACCTGAAGGAGGTAAGGAACAGAAAGTAACTATGTTGGGATCTTCTGTGTACCAGGTGCTGCACATGCGTCAAGCACACATCACATGCTTGTTGCCTTATTAGACTCTCCCAGCCTACCGTAGCGGTTATTACTTCCTTTTCCAGATGAAAGATTTTGGCTTAGGGAGCTAGAGTAACTTAGTAGAATATGTGGTAAGGTTAGCATATCAGCTAAGGGCCCAGGAGAAAAGAGAATTCCCCTCAAAAGGGTTTAGCTAAAGAGAACTTAAAGGAGGGACCATTTACCGATCTGTAGACACGGTATTAGAGAATCACCAGGGGGCTTCCCTGGTGGTGCAGTGGTTAAGAATCCGCCTGCCAGTGCAGGGGACACGGGTTCGAGCCCTGGTCTGGGAAGATCCCACATGCCGCGGAGCAACTAAGCCCATGTGCCACAACTACTGAGCCCGTGTACCACAACTACTGAAGCCCGTGTGCCACAACTACTGAAGCCCGCGTGCCACAACTACTGAAGCCCACGCGCCTAAAGCCCGTGCTCCACAAGAGAAGCCACCGCAATGAGAAGCCCGCGCACCGCAACGAAGAGTAGCCCCCGCTCACCGCAGCTAGAGAAAAGCCCGTGCGCCAACAACAAAGACCCAACGCAGCCAAAAAAAACAAACAGCAGCCAACCCACAGCTGCAGCCAATTTAAAAAAAAAAGAGAGAATCACCAGGGAACTAACAATAGTAGGGAGCCATTGCCACTCCCTGGGCTGAGCGGATAAGGGGAAGGACTAGTGGTACCATGGGAGCTGTGCTGAGCAGAAGGAGGCCAAGAAGAAATACCCCAACCGCTCTCCTCCCCTGCCCTTCAGGCCCCGCCTGCACCTCTCATTGGCTGACCCAACAGGAAGCCAGAGGGCACGAAAGCCAGAGCGATGCCGTCTGTTGGGGGTGGAGAGGGAGAATGAATGGAAGAGGTAGAAAGGGAGATCAACCAGCACAGACAGTCAGTGGTGGAGCAGGATTTGAACTCAGGACTCACTGACTCTAAACCCTGGAGCCCTTGTGCTGCCCTACGGAGCCACGCACGCTACTGTGCCCACACACCCAGCTGGGTCCCAAACACCACTCCATTCATGGGGACATCCTGTCAAATAAGGACTCAAGCCTGGGCCTGAGATATTCCTTCTTTCTCTAGCCAGAATGTTCCTGTTCTAAAGAAAGTACCGGATTTTGGTGAGGATGGTGGCATCTGGTTCCACTAGCCCAGCAGAGAAATGTGAGCCCTTTGTTCCAAGCCTGACGTTTGAGTGCACCTGCGGTCGTGTGCTCATGCCCCTCCCTCTGCCAGGATCCACATTCCCCTTCCCTTGGTTTGGCCCGGGCATTCTGGCCATCGCTATTCCTGATTCATTCATCCCTGTATTCCTGTATCTGGCTCAATACCTGGCAGCAAAGAGGCTCACGGTAGAAACTCAGCTGCTCTCCAAATAACACCCTTTCCTCTGGGCTCTGGGATTTTATTTCACAGAGCGGGTTTTCCAGACGCTTCTGTACCGTCTGTTGCAGATAAAGAATGTTAATATTGCCTTTTCAGGTTGGGCCTCAGCGGGAGATGATGATGATGTCAATAAAAATAATAATATATTTTGGGTGTTTAAAATGTGCCAGGCACTGTAAAAAGATTTTTATACTCATTGTCTCATTCGTCAGACACCACTTATGCAAATTCTCTCAGCTGCACCTTATTCCAGTTCTCCACAGTCTGCAAGCGGCTCTGCACAGGTGCATCCCAGTGGCGTCTTGCCTCAGGGCCTGGCTATAAATCTCTCCTGTTTGGCTTTGGAATTTCCCTGTTGCACCCTCGTAGCCCACTTGAGCACTCATTCACACCTAACTGGGAGCAGCTAATGCCCTCCGGTGCTACCCTAGACCAGCGGGGCACTGATGTCAATGGATAAGTGCTTCCACTTCCTGGCTGAGCTGCTTTCGTACAGATGGTCCTGTGGAACTGGACACACACATGCCCACAGCAGCGACCAGCTACTCCATAAGGCAGGCTTGTATTGGCTTTTCATCCTTCCCCGTCTTGCTCTCCCACCCCTCATTTCTGCTCCCTGGGATCATATTCCAAAACTTGCGTGTAAGCCTTTGTCTCGACAATCCTTATAACAATCAGGATGGAGGTACTATTATTATCCCCACTTCACAGGGGAGGAACCTGAGGCTTAGCAAAGTTTAGTAACCTGCCAAAATCATACAGGGGGTAAGGGCAGGGCCACTGAAACGTTTAGGAAGGAAGGAGAGGGTGTGAAATGCTCCTCTCAGGAGAGGGAGATTGGATTTACCAGGGAATTGTAATAGAATTTCTGGCAGTCTTGTGTGTCTGTTGAGGCTTGTGGCCATGAATTTGAAGCAAATCCGGTCACCCAAGGGCTGGGATGTTCTCCAGCGATCCTCAGGTGCTCCGACAGAGGCACTGTGGGAGGGTAAGGGTGAGGGGTTGGGCAGAGCAGTAAGCAGCTGGGAGCCAGGGTGACCAGGGGTGTTGGGGGGCTTGGGCTCCTGGCAATGATAAGGCGTGTGGGCCCTGGGACCCCAAGGACCTGGCGTTGAACCCAGGCTCTGTGGTTTACTCCCAGCATGACTCTGAACAGCTCACCTGACTCCTCAGATTCCGCATCTGTAAATAAAGGCACATTCCCGCATCTGGGAATAAAGGCACCCTCGCCCGCATGGTTGGGGGGACAGTTAGAGATCCCGTAAGAGAAGTAATAAGAGCTAATGCCTACGTGCCCAGCCCCGTGCTGAGTGCACTTTCCAGCGTTAAAGCGGGTGCTGTTAGAGCCACAGGTCACAGAGAAGAGAAATTAGCCACTGTAAGTTGAATGACTTGCCTGAGGCCACAGAGCAGAAAGCAGGAGACTCAGGATTTGACCTGGTAGCCCTCACCAGAGTCTGCTCTTAGCCTCTCCTCCACCCAGCCTCCCAGGAGACCTGCCTCCTAACAGGCACCATTTTCCTTAACCCTGGTGGGAACAGAGCTGCCACTTCCTAGCTCCTTTTCCAGCAGCCGGCTGGCCCTGGCTTTCCTCTGCTCCCGTGAGCCTAGCTCCAGGCCAACTGAGGCCAGGTCTCAGCACTGGCTCACATTCTCCCCGTCCCCTGCCGCCAACTGCTCAGGGCCTATTAGGGGCCCACACTTCTGAGGAGAGACACTGCTTTCCCTTAAGGTGCTTGGAGAGTGGGCTCGAGGGGCCTTTAGCCCTGACGTGGGCTGGGGGGTGGGAGCAGGGAGCAGGGTGGCTCTGATTTGCTGGCCTTTATGGGGAGGGAGACTGCTCTGGCGGGCTTCACGGCTCCACCCTCCATGTCCCTTTGCCTGTGAGCTTGGGGCCCATCCCCACCTCCCCTGCTTCCAGCTGCACTGAGGAGTTTCCCAGCCTGGTGGCCCACGTGACCAGCTTCTCTCACTTCCTCCCTTTGGCCCCCTCCGCCTGCTGAGCCCAAGGCCCAGCCCTGCCCCCGGCCCGGACTCACCCCCCTACACACACACACAGGCCAAGCCTGAGCCCAAGAGCTGGAAAATGGGCTGGAGAAGAAAGGCCTTGGCATTTGGGGCCAAGCCTGGGGCTGCCGGGGTAGATGGGGATGATGGGGATGGTGAGTAGAGTCCAGGAAAGAAATGTAGAGATGGAGAGAGGAGACCGGGAGCGCCCTTGACTTCGGAGACCTGGAGCAGCACCTCTTTTTTCTTCTGTTTGTTTTGTTTTGTGTGGTTTTTTTTTAAAACCCATTTATTTATTTATTTTTTGCGGTACGCGGGCCTCTCACTGTTGTGGCCTCTCCCGTTGCAGAGCACAGGCTCCGGACGCGCAGGCTCAGCGGCCATGGCTCACGGGCCCAGCCGCTCCGCGGCATGTGGGATCTTCCCGGACCGGGGCACGAACCCGCGTCCCCTGCGTCGGCAGGCGGACTCTCAACCACTGCGCCACCAGGGAAGCCCCGCACCGCTTGTTTTTATTTATTTACTGAGCACTTAGTCTGTGCCGACCACTACCCTACCCTAAATTCTTTATCTATTTAGTCTCTCTTAATCCTCACTGTAAGTTTATAAAGTAGCTGTTATGATCCCCAGTTTACAAACAGGGAAACTGAGGCAACTAGAAGTTAGAGGCCCAGTGGAATTGGCCGAGCAGGGATTTGAACCCAGCTCAGTTTGCTTCTCCTGTAAACAGGTGAGGAAGGGAACCCCAGGGTGGCGAAGTAACCCGAGGGGCTAGGAGACCAGCTGTCCCAGAGCCCAAGGGTGATGAGTTTGTGGGGTTTCTAGAGCCTGCTCTTGGATCACGTGCAGGAGAAGTCGCCCCCAACCCCTCCCAGCTTCCTGCTCTCCCGGGGGCTCCCCTGCACCTCTGAGCCAGGTCTGGGGTCAGGATGGGGCTGGGCCCCGGGGTCGGGTCGAGGTGCCCATCAGGAAGGCAGGCGCCATGGGGCGGGGTGACAGACACCAGAAGCCCTCCCTGAACAAAGGCTGGGTGGGAGGCGGCCTGGTGTTTCCACACCCCGCCTCTCCCAGCGCCTGCTGAGCCACGACCCGTAGTCAGCAAGGCGGGGCAAGCATGGCCAGGGCCGAGGCCGCTCTGCTGCCCCTCGTCCTGCAGCTCACGGGCCTGGCACTGGCCCCGGGGACCGGCAGAGGTAGGTCGGGGCGCCGAGGGCTTGGGGGCAGCCAGACAGGACCTCACCTCTTGCTCAGCCCAGTCTGAGGGAACGGCTGGGGCCGGGGGCCGCCTCCCTGGGCCCTGCCTCGGGGTGCGTGCGCCTCCCAGGCCAGCCTGAGTCCTCCCCGTCGGTGGAGGAGCCAGCATGGTCGGGGCAGCACGGAGACTGTGGCATGGGGTCCCGGAGCAGGACGGGGCTTCCTGCTCTGGCCTCGGGAGGAATTCCTGCAGGCAGCGGTGGGGGAGAGTCCGCCCTGGAATCTGGGAGTCTGAAGTTAATTATTTGTCTTGAGAAAGGGGAAAAAAAAAGAAGGCCCGCCATGGGAGCTGACTTTGAGTCTCTGTGTCTGGCTTTCATCCAGAAGGACAGGCAGGAACAGAGAGGTCAGGGCTGGGACTGTGCAGGGGGGAAGGGAGGGGAGCAGGTCCACGGGGAGCAATCAGGCTTTGTGCAACAGGAGCTCTTTCTGCAGGTCTCTCCAGGCAAAGGACCAGCCCGATCTTCCCTGAGGGTCCCAGAGGACCCTCAGCTTCTCCCCGACCCCTTTCTTGTGCCTGCTTAAGCAGGCCTGGAGGGAGTGGCCTGAAAGGAGGAATCATGGTGGGGGGGGTGTCGTGCTGGGGTGGAGGGTTTAAGATACTGGGACCCCATCCTTGGCCGCCCTTCATGGGGCTGGGAAGGAAGCAAGGTACAGGGGCCATACCAAGACAGAGAGCCATTCCAAGTGACGGCACCCTGCCCAAGGTAGGGGTGTGGGCGGGGGGCGGGGGGGGCTGAAAAGATGAATGGCACTTGGGAAAGCTCACATTTGGACTTGCTGCTGGGAGCCTGCAGGTGTGTGATTTAGAAAGGCTGTGAAAGGAAAAGAGGAGCACGTGGAGGCAGGGAGCCTTCAGCCTCCTGAGCGGCCACAGAGGGGAGAGGAGAGGAGCTGGCGGGGGGGGGGGGGGGGGGGGGGGGGGGG